TGAAAACAACATACAACAAGCAAATCGAAGCTTGGATGATTATCAAGGCATGATAAACATCATTCAGGTTCAAGAGAAGCTTAATTGAGGTCATTTATGGTAAATTACCCAGTTTGCGTCAATCTCGCAATTCTATTGCAATTTGTAATAAACTGATATTTCATGTTACTTTAGGCTAGTTTTAGTGATTTTCATGTTTTTTATATTATTTTGGGTTGAACATTCATTTATTTAAGGCCCAATTCGTGGTTATTATGATTAGGGCTTAGGGTGTTAGTTTCCTATTCTGATTAGAATTACTTTTCTCTATTTAAAGGGGCTTGTAATCTTAATTGGGGGAGGCTATTGAATATGAGTTTTGAGAGACTTTTCTCTTTGGTTCGTTTCAGAACTTTACAGAACTTATCAAGATTATTCTTGTGGCGTTCTAACCTGACTTATCATTCTCGTTCTTAATCGCTCGATGGTGTGGCGTCAACCAACTTTATACCTCTAGTTCTTGTTGCGTCATAGACAACGGGTCAAGGTTTTTACCTTTGGTTCTTGTTGCGACATAAACAATGGGTCAAGGTCCTATCACAAACCTGATTTAGCTTTCCTGGAGTTTAGAAATCCCTTGTCGTACTGTGGGTCTCATTGTTCTCTTTGGGGTTCTCATCAAGTCAAATGGTAGGAAAAATTTTGCTGCCTCATTGTTTCTCTTTAAATTTTTTTGGCCACCATTTTCCTTTAATTAAAACAAAACCTATTATTAGAAAAATAATAAGGGTTTTTCTAATCTATATATTTATGACACATGTTAAGAATATTTTTTATTAGAAATGTATATAAAAAAATATAAAAGTTGAGATTAATTTTAGTGTCAATGTTAAGTGGTTGAATTTAATTTAAGAATTAATAAATTAAAAGTTGACTTTCATTTTTTCAATAAAAATTTATGATAAAAAATTATATTTAATACACACTTAACGTGTATGTTTAAGGTACAAGTTAGATAAATTCAAATAATAAAAAAATATAATAAATATATATTTTAACTTATATTTTAAGAACACTTGTTTAAAAAATCTTCTTTTAAAATGCTTATGTTCTAGTTTTATTATTTGGATTTATTTAACTTATAACTTAAAAGCAATGTATTAAATTTATTTTTTATCATAAATTTACGTTGAAAAAATAAAAATTAATTTTTAATTTATTAATTGTTTAATTAAATTTAACTACTTAATGCTAACACTAAAATTAATATTAACTTTCATATTTTTTATATACATTTATAATAAAAATATTTTTTTAATCTCTACTCATAAGGTACATATTAAAAAACTTGTATTATTTTTTGAGTGATTTAATTAAAGAAAAACGGTGGGTAAAAAAATTTAAAGAGAATCAATCAGGTAGGAAATTTTTTCTGCTACATGGCTGCTTACATGACAGTATGTGGCAGTAGATATGAAATTCCATTAATAGAATTAACGGAGTTGTATTGGATAGAAGAAAATGAAATAACTTTAAAAATTAATAAATGAGTTTGAAGAAAATAAAAATATTAGACTAAAATGAAAAATAAGTAATAATTAATAGATGATTTGTTAAATTAAACCTATCCTTTCCACTACATTTTTTTAATTTAAGATTTTATCACAACTCTCTAGTAACCAACTTTTTTCAATAATATGGAAAAATTAATACAATTTCAGCTTTATAATTTAAAAATAAAAATTTTTATTTTGTAATTTAATTTATACTAAATTATAAAAT